ACTGGGAGGCACAATTTAAGCAAGTGGACATATATGTCAAGTCTGTACAAGTACTATGAAAAAAAAATAAAGTCAGCTAAGGTGACAGAAGAAATGAGGGTCCAAAGGTGAATGCTTCCTGGAGGAAGGGCATTCCAGGCAGAGGGAATAGTAAGTGCAAAGGCCAAGAGGTAGGAACCTTCTAGGCAAGGAGCTGGTGGGTCTGGAGCAGAGGGATGAAGAGGGCAGAGGTCGTAAGAGAAGACGGTGAGGGGATGTGAGGAGTCAGAGCCTGGAGCATCTCAAAAGACATGGCGATGATTTTGGTTTTAAATGAAAAATACTGGGGGCACCTGGGTGGCTCAGTCGGTTAAGCATCAGACTCTTGGTTTTGGCTTAGGCCGTGATCTCATGGTTTGTGACTTCGAGTCCCACATTGGGCTCTGCACTGAGCAGAGCCTGCTTGGGATTCTCTCTCTCTCATCCCTCTCTCTCTGCCCCTCCTGCATGCTCTTTTTCTCTTTCAAAAATAAATAAATAAACTTTAAATGAAAAATACTGAAGGGCTTTGAACAGAAGTGACATGACTTGGATCTAGATTGACAAAAGTCAGATCCTTCTCTATGCTGCTTAGAAAACAGCCCAGGGAAGGCAGGACAGGTAAAAGCCGAGGCACCGGGAAGGTGTGTCCTGCAGCGGTGCTAAGAACAAGTAGTCCGATTGGGATTCTTACAGGTAGGGCTGCCAGGGTTTGGAGACGGATGGGAGCACAGAGATAAGAGACGGACAGGCATGAGGGATGGCTGTGAGGCCCAAGCACCTGCAGGCATGGTCACTGGGATGGGGGAGACCAGGGAGGAAGCAGATTTATGAAAGGAAACCAAGGGCTCAGTGTTGGTCTTTGTGAGTCTGAGATGCCAGAAGTTGGGCTGAATGGACAGCTGGATGCAAATATCTGGATTTAAAAGAAGACCAATCTAGGGATCTAGGCTGGGAATCATCAGTATATGCAGGGCATCAAAGCTACAAAACTGAATGGGATTAACTATGAAATTACACTAGAGATCTCTTTTTAATAAATAAACAACATACTGTGTTGACCTGCTGCCGACATGGTACAAAGTCCTTTTACAGCTATTAACTCACTAAATCTTTCCAGCCACCCTGAAGTCAATCTCTATTATTATCCTCATTTCACTGATGTGCACACCAAGGCACAGTGACTTTTTTTAAAAAAATATTTTTAATGTTTATTCTTGTGAGAGAGAGAGAGAGAGAGAGACAGAGCATGAACAGGGGAGGGGCAGAGAGAGAGGGAGACACAGAATCCAAAGCAGGCTCCAGGCTCTGAGCTGTCAGCAGAGCCCAATGTAGGGCTTGAACTCATGAACCATGAAATCGTGACCTGAGCTGAAGTCAGACACTTAACTGACTGAGCCACCCAGGTGCTCCAAGGTGCAGAGATTTTTAAGCATCTTGCTCAAGGTTAGTGGGAAAGAGAAGGGTGTGGGGAGGAGAAGAGAGGCTGAAGGCTTGAGC